TCAAACAGGTGGTTGCTTGTCATAGACAACAAACGTCACCGATCTAGCTAAAAACTAGTTAAGCAATAGATCAGGATTATCTACAAAACATCAGTCTACCTTGCACCACTATCTTCGACAAAATTTTGGAAGTTGGGGTCCTTCGCCAGAAAAATATGCGAAAACTACGGGAAAAGCAGCGCAAATCACTACAATTCATCCCAAAAACATATCATATACAACAAAACAGTATATTGAAGCACACTTTGTGGTCTAACGAAGGTATTATGTCATTCGAACCGCCCGAAAAAGGCGTGTGTGAACGTCAGATGACTACAACGCCCCAACAGCAGAGACGGCCAGGCACCCGTCGAAAATCATATTGTGAGACATTTTGAGCCACCGTGCACTCATTGGGCTTGATATGATGGCCCAAAGACAACTGTTAGCAGTAGCACAGAGTACTACTGCGGTAATACTCTACCAGTACAAAAACTGGATGCCGTGAACCAAGTGGCCATGAACGGGTTTGTTTTGGAAACCAAATCTGTTGGAAGCCAAAGGTCGCGCCATGTTCAGACATGGAGCTTCTCCACTCCAGATGTAAAAAACGCAGCAAAAGTGGTGTAGGCAGAAATTTTTGTTTTGGGGGATAATACCTTATGGCCTGGGAACACTTTGATGTCAAGTTTATCTTTATATGATCGTAATATCCTCCGGCAAGAGGTCAAAGAAAACAGGCCTACACCCAGTTCCGGGAGACCCGTAAAACAACTGAGACCAGCAATGGCTGGCATTTTCCATCATTGTCGGCTGATCTTGTAACAAGCTTATCTATTGCATGTGCTATTTGACAGCCACCCTAGTTGACTATATAGGACGGTAAAAAGAAAAAGCGCAATCATGTATAATGGTTCGTTCCGCGACAGGGTCCGGCTGCTTTGTACGGCTCGGCGGGGCGGGAGGGGGGAGGCAGGCGACGCGTCTGACAGGCGACACTTGAGCGTCCCGGGAATCAGCTGTCACCGTGCGGCGCGGCGGGCCGTCCCTCCGACCCTTCCCATTGTTACCTGACTGGGCGCCGGCCGCCGGTCCTCCGGAAGGGTCACTTTGGTATGCGAACTCTTCACCGCACTTGCCCACTGTCAGAGAGTGTACTGAGGTACAGTAGTTTCTAACAGCTCGTTCGATTGGTCTGCCTGCTCAGCCAATCATATTCTGGCAACCTTGGACCTTGGGACCCAACGTCGCTATGGTACTTCCGTATAGCCTGAGGCACCTGGGTACTTATGAATCTTGGGTCCCGTTGGATTCTGGGTCCGACTGTACTTGGGTACATTTGATACACACCCAGATCGATACAGATCCGATGAGATTTTGGAGTCGGGGAAAAATGGGGGTACCTTTCTGAGAATGCCTGTGAGGTCAGACTCTGTTGGAGCGTGCAGTTCAAACCAAAGTCAGAGTCGCAGTCGCCAAAATTTTCAAGACTCCGACTCCAGACTCGGAAATGTCAATGCCATGATTCATGCCATGTTCCTAGTTGGTTCTTTATTACATTTTGTAGCTGATTTTCATAAATTTTGGAGTGCTGACACATAATTTTCGTTCAAAGCGTAACACGAAATCTTCGGGGCCTTTCTCAACTCTCGTCAAATGTCTGCGACAGGCACAAGTACCGTTCAAGTGCCGCAGGGCTCATGAGCCTGCTTTTCACACAGGCTCCTAAGGAGCTCCACTGAGCTCTAAGAAGCTTTCGGAGGGCCCAAACCGGCCTCTGAGAGTCCCACTGGTGTCCATGTTCTCTAGAGGGCCCATACAGGGATCTTTGAGGACATTATACATACGTAGACCTCTGAAGGGCCACACGAATCTTTGAGGATGCCTTCGAAAATTTCTGAAAACCTCAACTGGCCTATGATAGTTCAGCCGAACTTTTGAGGCGACAGACTTTACTAACCCCAACCCGGCATCTGAGGGGTCACAACTCACGTGTCCCTCTGAGGGCCGCAACACATGTTTCTTATGTCCCTACCAGCGTAAGGTCCTTAAGGATTCGACACAGACCCCGACGGTTCACACTGTTATTCGAGGGCTCCAGGCTCACCCTGGGCCTAGTCTCTTAGCACCCGCCGCCCACACTGGCTTCTGAAAGCTCGTGTGCCCTAAAGGGCTTTCCGGGCCCACCTTAGGCTCGGAAAGCCCTAAAGCACCACATACACGTAAATATTTGGGGTGACCAACGCCGATCTCCGGGATCCTAAGCAGGCTTCTGAGAGTCCACACTGACCCTGAGTGGCCTGAAATGGCCTGGAAGTCGCAATCCTATCTCTCTTGCCGCCATGCCGTGCGTAACTTTTGGTTCCGTTAAATATTTTTGGTCGCGTTTGCAGCGTTTCCCTTCACTCGAAAAACCAGAAACTTTTTGTTCACACTCGAGTGAACAAAACACTTCTTCTCACTGCAGCAAGGATGAATGATGTACTTCCGATTCACACTTCCGACATTCTCTCTTAGTCTCCGCCGAATGCCCAATTCTTAACTACAATCGGCGGCTGGGATAAGCCCTATGCATTTCACGTAAAACCTCGGCATGCATGCGTGAATGGAGGTTTTAGCGAGGTGATCCGATTCAAATGGAGCGTTTTTCACCTTCTTCTGGGTAATGATCATGAGCAACGAGAGTCTGCGCAGGGGCCCTCTGCAGTGCGTCGGCAATCGCAGCCACTGTAATTCTACCGGTCGTTTTTGTCCAGAAATTTCAAAATTTTGATTTTTTTTTGTAAAAAAAATACATGCTATAGCTAGAAGGAAAACTTTGTCACCATCGGATTCCTCGCACCATTGCGCGTCGAATGATATGTAAAACGAGTGAGTAACGGCTGGGGAAAGGCAAGATTTAACACAAAACTTGATTTTGCCCCCCCCAACCGAAAATGTCTGGCGCCTTTACGTCTGGTGGTTTTTCCTTATCTTATTGATATATTTTCAAAAGTCTTAGTAAAAAATCCCTAGTAGAAGAACATTGCACTACATTTGTAAAAACATCTTCCGACGGTGTTTTGTTGAAGCTTCACAAATATGACGCACTATCGACAACTATTGCCTAAAATTAGCCGCGACGGTGCCGTGAATTGTCCGAGTAAAAAGGTAACAAATTCTAAGAAAATTACACAATACATTTACAAATAGGGTTATATCAGCTCCTGTGCTACTGCTGTCCTCATCTCAATATTTCTTTGCTTATCTGGAACAATTGATACCATTCTTGATAGCGAAAACGCCGTGACGCCGTCTTAGGTCGCCTCTCGCTGAGATCCCTTTGATGGAGAGGCCACTTTTACTAACTGAAAAATAGCCACCTGCCGGAATTTTTGTCCAAAGACTGCTTCACGCACAGAGCATAAATGTGATGGGCAGATAAGTAGATAGGGCTTTACTGTTAAAGGGACTATCCCACCTTCTAAAATGTTGTTAAAACCAGTTAAATTGTGCCCGACTTTATAGATTGGATGACCAGGAACACGGTTCTGGCATTTATTTTTCATGAAACATCTTAGGCTTCCCATATTCCAAACACAAACTTTCAAATATGTGACGTCACAGCCCAAAATTACCTCCTTCCCCAGGCCACATTACTGTCATAAAGCTGATTCTTTTTACTCTGTAGGCACCACAACAAAGTTCAGACCAAGTTTTAAGCGATTTTTCAACGGACAAACCCTTTTAAATCAGAATGACTTAACGAGGTGACGTCACACTAACGGTCGCTCCATGTTGAAGATAGGGCCTTGTACAAGGCCCATTTTCAAATGAAGGGAACGAATTTCTTCAACACCAAGAGGCCGCGGGGGTTCCAACCTAGATAGATAGTGGTTTCTGAACCTCGCCGCAAACTTGGCTATCTCAACTCAAACCCCATGTTAAAGGTGGGATAGTCCCTTTAACGCTCTGAATGTGAAGCTGTCTCTCGGCAAAAAATTGTGGCAGGCCGCTATTTTACTGTTGGTGTAACCATAGCCTCAGGTTCATTTAAGTCTGATGAGCCTAAGAACAGAGTTTTAGCAGCTGTTGAATCATGCACATTTATATTGCCGCATAAATATCTGAGAAATTTCTGACCAAGAACTTTTGCTCTTGCTACTTTTCTCAGTTTTCCCCAATCCATAGTGATAGGTAGGTACCGCTCACAGGTTTAAGCAGTAGGTTTTGCCTTTTTACATTTTTGGCTACCTACATCTCAGAAACTAGTTGATAGGTATACAATGAGGCCATTGTAGGGGAGTATAGCAGGCATGTGCACAAAACAAATGAATCACAAGCTTTAGAATATATAGCCAGAAATTTGCTAACTTTCATACTTAGGGGCAAAACCAACTGCTAAAACCCATGAGACCTGTACCTACCTGCATTTCATGTGATCAAAGAGCAGAGTGATCTAGGCATTTTAACTCTTTGTTCTTTCCCAGTTCCTAGTTTTGTCAGGCTTAATTTGTCTTACTATTTCAGTTTTTTTTAATGGCTAGGGCTTAGATAAAGTCAGTTTCTGGGGCTCTCTTGTGTTTATGCCATGAGTTATGTGCATTCATATTTTAGGCTTTTGCTCCAGTTTAAGACTGGTTGAAGTCCCAAGAAGCAAGAGCTAAGGGGTGCTCTGAATATTTATTTTGGTTAGCCTGTAGTGGGTATGCTTTCCCAACACCAACATCCAAAGATTTCTTCTGAATCTGCCAGTGGCTTGGATAGGGGTTGGGTATCTATTTTATGCTACTTGAACTGGGCACTGACTTGGATAGGATCTGGGACCTGGTGATTTGACTTCCTTCATTGATATGGACCTATCTGTAGTGGCTCATGCTCAGCATTTCGCTTTTCTCTCCCATGTACTTATCTCCAGAGTATACATATTTTTACGAGCTGATTACAAGCTGATGGGCACAAAATGACCTTAGTAGTTGGCACGCTCTGAACCCCAATAAACAAACAATATGAGCTGATTATAATTGATTACACTTTTTCAGGAAAGGACAGCTTTTACAACCATGTCTGAGGCACAAACTGCAGGGGATGCTGTGCAGGCCAACAGTTCACCTTCACCACTCCAGGATGGCCTGAGCACTGAGTCCACGCCTGAGTCAGCAGTGCAGTCTTCTGGAGATGCACCCACACAGTCTGCTGAAAAAGACACAAAGCCTGTGGCATCTGAAGTGGAGCCAGTGCCTGTATCACTGGCTAGTCACATGGCAGGAGATAAGGCAGAGCCTGCTCAGCTGCAAGAAAAGCCTGATCTGCCTTCTGGTGGTTCTTCTGAGCCCCAGCCGAATTCAGACAGCTCAACAGCCAATGGTTCAGTGGATTCTCCCTGCAAGGCCACTCAAGATAAGCCATCTTCTGAGCCCACAGAATCCCCAACCCCTGCTGAGCTTTCATCTGTGCCTTCAGAGAAGTCTGATTCCTCGCACTCTGCCGATGCTGCGTCTCCTCCAGCTGCCGTAGCCCCGCCTGCTGAAGCCCCTGCTGAAGCTCCTGGTGAAGCTCCTGCCGAACCTCCGGCCGCGCCCCCTGCGGAACCCCCCGCGGCACCTCCGGCCGATTCCGGCCAGGACGACTCCGGCTGTGACACAGAGCCGGAGCCGGAGCGGCAGTCGTCGGCGCCGGCGTCGATGGCCGAGCGGCGCGGCCCCGAGATGGCCGACGTCGAGAAGCTGGCGCGCTCGGTGGTCTCGGACACGCTGGAGAAGGCCAAGCAGGAGGCCAGCCTGCAGCGCTCGCTGGATAACCGGCGCCAGGACCCGGACACCGACGACGACGGCTGGCTCGATATCGTCGGCAACGGACAGCTAAAAAAGAAGGTGCGTATCGGGGTTTGGTAGACATAAAAGTAGTAGGGAATAGGGATGCTCTTGGATCTACAATGTATGAGATCAGTGAATTGTCGCCGCTATCGCAGGTGGTTATAATGTTGTGTATTTTGTGTATGTATATACATTCCCGGACCCCTCCTTGCTTGCCACTCGGAGCCGTGAGTCCGACCGACTTATCCGTGGCAGGTGCTGTACCCCGGCAGGGGTGACACCTCTGACCGACCTCTCTGTGAGTTGACCGCGCTGACCGACTCCTCTCCTCCACAGGTGCTGACGGCCGGCCGCGGTGACCGCTCCGACCGACCGCAGCGCAGTCAGCTGGCCTCCGTGCACCTCTCTGCCCACTTTGAGGACGGACGGCCGGTGAGCGGTCTGCCCGAGCGGCTGACATTCGGCCTGGGAGACGGAGAGGTGATCACCGGTCTGGACATGGCCGTGGGCCTGATGCAGCCCGGAGAGACGGCCGAGGTCTACATGGACGCCAGGTGGGTGTCATTGAGGGGAGGGGACGGCGGAGACGGTCGAGGTCTACATGGATGCCAGGTGGGTCAGTGTCTAGAAAGGGACGGGACAGCGGCAACGGAGGAGGCGAGATGGTGCAGAGAGCAAGGGCGTTCGTCGTCGGGAGCTGGTGGAAGATCATGACCAGGAAGCAAGAATGTACTGACGAGTGGCCGGCAATATTTTAAGAAGTTTTATAAATGTTTGAGTTGTACTAGTCTGATAATCATCTGGCGGGACCTGGTGAATTGACAAGGGGTTGACGGGGATATCTTATTGACTGGTGCCATTGTTTACTACCCACTTGATAAACGCCCGGCTGACGCCTGATAAGAATCATAATGGGGTAGTCCGCACTCGCAGGAGCCCAGCCAAAGGGCTAGACAGAGGACAGATCGTCGCTTGAGTATCTACGCGATAGGTACCGTTTGTGATGGATCTGCATCATTCTTTCTTTTGTAGGTCCACGATATTTTGTACACCCAACCAGTTTCACATGCATTTTCGTTTTTCGAGCCCAAAAGGTCAACGGACGTTCAAGCTAATAGCCGATCCCGAATCATACTCCAACCCCCCACCCCCCCACCCCCACCCTAACGTCGCGCTGCCTCTGTTGTTCTCTGACTTAGGACGTTCTTCTCTCAGGTTCGCGTATGGCGAGAAGGGTCTGGACGACGCTGTGCCTCCCAACACGAACCTGATCTTCACTGTACAGCTGGAGAGCGTCCAGCCGGAGCCAAAGTATGAGGAGATGAGCGCCGAGCAGCGCCTCGAGATCGGGTCAGTAAGGGACTCGGGGGAGGGGGATTGGATCAGTGGCGGGCTCGGGTGGGATGATCGGGTCAGTGGCTCCCGACCATCCCAGGCACCACGCATTGGGAACGAATAGAAGCGCCATCTCGCAGATTTGCAGGAACAAGTTTGCAAGCTTTGGTGTATTTTACTGCGGCCTGCGGGCTTGTGGGGCTACTCTGTATGGTCTGGTGGCGCATGCCCCTGCCACCATGTTACAATTTCCTCACTGTCACTGTTACTCTATAATCCAACAACCTCTCCCTCCTCTCAGGAGTCAGAAGCGAGACCGCGGCAACTGGTGGTTCAAGCGCGAGGACTTCAACCACGCCATCCAGTGCTACCGACGGGCGCTGGACTTTTTCGACAACGAATCTGATGAGTTCACGGTAGGTTCCCCGGGTGTGTGCGGGGGGGGGGGGGGCGGCGCTGCCACCGTCACCGACCGGGCGAGCCGGCTGTTCGGGAGCGTTCCGCCGCGTCGATACGTCGATAAGCCACACTGCCGCCGGTTTCCGGCGCTTATCGATCTAGTGCTGGCTTGGCTGTAATGTGTGTGGCTAAGCACAAGGTGCCAGGGGATAATCCAGCTTGAATGAATGGATTTTAAAACCAGCTGATATTTCTTATGCTTAGCTACAATGCAGTCAGCTTTGGTTCATGAGATAGTCTGTTGGTGTCATTGAGGTGGGGTACTCTTTGCTGGACTTAGTTTATCAAAATGATTCCACATTTTACAACAAGTTCCGGAACAAGGCTGGTTTTGGTTAGTGCTACCTCTGGGTAATCGCATTCCAATAGTTCTGGTGATACTGTGGCAGTTGGGTGTAATGTACTGTGTAATTCATAATGTGTAGCTGCAGCATCAGCCTGTACCCGTTCTCACTGTGTGTCAGTCAGCTGACGCTATTATTATTATTATTATTGTTTATTCAGCATCGTCATGCGACAAAAAGATACATACCCCCCCCCCCCACCCCACCCACCCACACACACAGTTAATCAGCACTCAGGAGGTTAGTAGTCTTAACAGGCGCCGCGAGGCCTGACAGTTGCTTGCCAAAACCATCTTCAAACTGTCTACAAGACCGCTTTCTTGGAGTGGTGCCCGGACTATGTCGTGATCGACGTACCCAGCAGCGATGTGCATGATAGCGCCGAAATTCTTACCACACAGATTATATACGTGGCCAATAAACGACCCATCCAACTGCTCGGGGTACGTAGCAAGTCTGGCCAGTCCAGTGACGTAGGCTTGGCGAAGACGGTGGTCAGCGCGGAAAGCATTACGGAATGCGCGGAGGGCATCACCTCGCAGCACCTCACCGATGCGAGGCACCCCAGCAGCAATCAAAAGAGCCGTATGGTGCGCAGAACGCGGCAGACCCAGCGCTGCCTTGATCAGCGAAGCCTGTCGCGAGTCTAGACGCTCAATGTCGGCGGAGCTGAGGGGAGCCGTCTCACAGCCGAAGATCAGTGCCGGCAGCACTACTGTCTTCCAGAGGAAGATTTTGTCAGCAGCAGTCAGGCGGTTGGTGAAATTGCCCAGGGGTGTGAGGCCATGTCGTTATCGTTATCGTTATCGACGTCGTTATCGACGGCTATCGGACGGAAAACAGTCCACTACTGATAGTGAGACGATGGGATATCTAACTAAGATAGTAGGGTGACGTGGTTATTCACTAGCAATATTACCGTCGTATTTCACTTGGGCCGTTGGTGTTTTCCGTTACCCATTTCGGACCGACAAGCGAAGTGTTATACTAAGCACTTAACCGGATTGCGCCGGTTTTAGTCGGTTTCCAGTCGGACTCGATCCAGCAAATGACCGCCCGCTGCCCGACCGACGAACAGACCTGGCGCCGTTTCATTTTTGGCCACATGGCGCCACGTTTTATTACGTTAATTCATTACCGACTGCCCGTCTGCCGTCGGAATTTAGACTCCTATTCACACTGATATGAATCGATATGACTCAGAGGCGTAGTCCCAGCGGCCGTGACCTAACCTCCCTGACCTGACTGACCCGACCTGACCTGACCCGACCCGACCCTCTTCAGGGTCTGCCCGACGACGTGCACCTGCTCTTCGAGGAGCGGCTCAAGGTGCACAACAACATGGCAGCCGCCCAGATGAAGCTCGAGGCATACGACGCGGCTCTGCGCTCCCTCCAGCTGGTGCTAACCTGCCAGCCCAACAACGTCAAGGCGCTGTTCAGGAAGGGCAAGGTGCTGATGGCACAGAACCAGGTGGCGGACGCGGCCGAGACGCTGCGAGAGGCGCTCAAACACAGTCCTGACAACCGCACCGTTCAGGCCGAGCTCAACCGCGTGCTGGTGCGTACTGCGGACGGGGTAGGGCTGGGGAAGGGGCGGTGGTGGGTGTGTTTGTTAAGGCGAGCAGCGAGTATGAATGGGGACACCAGCGAGGGGCTAGGAGTGCGCGGTAGCGTTTGTGTAAATGTTGTAAGTTTGGATGATGATGTAGCGAATGACGTTTTTATGACTTAATTTCTGGATGGTATGCAATTAGCTCTTGAGCACTGCCCATAACGTAAAGGTTCAGTCGATTTCTTATGCCCTACCCAGCTATGCTGCAAATGTATTTCTCCTCTGAACTAAATTTTTAACGTGCTGCTTACATACGTGTAACCCTGTACTCCGTCTCGTCCATTCACTTGTCGTCTGAGCGCGGCTCCCTCCGTTCTCACAGGGAGTTCAGCGAAAACAGGCCGAGGAGCAGAAGAGCATGTACCGCAAGATGCTGGGCCTGCCACCGGCCGAGGAGCGTCCGGCGTCGGCGCAGGCCACAAAGAAGGTAGCCTCCTTATCCTGGCTTCCGTCCAAGGTACAGTCCCGGACGTTCCCTCTCCCGGCGCGCGGCTGGTCTTTGACGGAGCTGGCGAGATGTCCTTATCGGTCGATCAGTTATCGATTATAGCTGATAGGATTTATGCCACGGTGGCTAGATATGGGGCGATAGCAGCCCGGGCGGGGCCGTCCCCACCGGCCGACGGGCTGGGAGCTAAGCCCCCCCCCCCCCGTGGGTAACAGAACTCCGCCCCACCTGTTCACAAACCCACGTGTGGAGCACCTGGCGGGCTGCCTGGCGAGCCGTGACGTCATTTGTATACTGCCCCTTTCGAGCTGTTTACTCAATGACGTCATTTGACGCGCTGTCTGCTGTGTTTAAATGGGGCGGAGTCGTACCGGTTGCATCACGCCCGTCCCAGTTTCCGTTTAATGGAGACACGTGGCTGGTAGGATGATGAGACCGTGTCGCATCTTGCAGAGTGCATGGGCTGCACTGTCGGGATGTTTATTGACAGTGCTGGTCTCGCCACTCGGCAGAAATTAGGTAACTAAAACCAAGGGGTTGAATGATCCCAACGGTATTTGGGGTCTGGACGTCTCTTGTATGAGGATGGGTAAATATTGCTGGAAATAGTCTAGGGTTTCCGGTTTTATTCCGGAGACTTGCCAATGGTCTCCCACTCGCCTTTCATAAGTCGTAGCCGCTGGGGGTCATCAGACTTAACAATCGTTCCGCTTCAAATTACACAAGAAATTTTACAGTTGACTTGGTTGGAAAAATTGATCCATTTTTTGCTTCCGCATTCGCTAGTGATTTTTTCGAATTTTGCAGCCCTTTGGTTACGCGCGTGGCTTTAAAAATGAATACTTACTTGTCGATTTATTAAGTCGGACGACCCATTTATTTTGTTTATCTGCCAAAACACCCCTACTTAATCTCGACACACTCCTTGGGTTGCGAAAGTTCAGCCACGCCGCCTTTAGTCTGTGAAAACAATCGGCTGGACCAAGTTCAAAGGGTGACTGACTACATATCATGTGTTGGTCCGCTTTCCATCCATGTTGCAACGCCCTCGTGGCCAGGCGCCCCAGGCATTTTAATGACACTCATGATCTCACGCGAGTTTCGCAACGCTAGGTGGAATGGTGGTGTCAGGTTCTGCAGTCTGCATGCTTCGGTCCTTCTACGCTTTGCTGGAAAGGAAACTCCACATTTTCAGAAGCAATATGATTGTCGGTAAAGTCTAGCATGTTTTTTGCACAAGATGAGAAAGCTTCAATTGAAACCATGAAGCTGGTGTAAAAAACTTATTTCATGTCGGTTGCGGCGTATTTGGGAACTGCGGATATCCGTCCACCAGCAGCAGATTTGTGAGTTTCATTCTGCTGCCTGTTAGACTGAACTACAGTGTTTTGTTGGCTGTGGACAAAGACATAAAAAACGTAGCTGAATTGATGTAGCCTCAAACGCCTGCAAATAGTCCAAACGTCGGGTAGTCCTAATTTCAGTCGTTATGATTCGCACTCCTGTCTCCCGGTGTCATTTCTCTGCTGGCATATTTTGCTGCATAGATATTTTTTAAGAAATGTGACCCCTCATGTCAATCTTGAAATTAGGACGTTGACAAAAAGTTATGCTTTTTAACTTCACCAGCTGCTCTTCTGATTTCATGGATCAGCACTTTTGAAGAGACCCGCACCATGACACTCCTTGCCGACATTGGAGCTTATGGTGATGCATGTTTCCGCGTAAGCTCGAATATTTTATCAGTGACCTCGTCTAAAAATAGATGCAAGCCTAAAAATGCATACAGTTACAATGTCCTCTCAGACTCTTGGTGCCTCAAAATTTCAACGAGATAAACATTTGGGTTTGCCATGTGCTGATGATGCGTATCGAAAATTTGTTTACTGAAATTTTGTTCTCATTAGTCTCATTAGTATCACATTTCATTTATCTCCGAGAAAATAAATGTCGCAAAGCGTTTGGCTCAGCTTTTAAACAAGTAGTGCACCCGAGTGTTCTAACTCATCTGTAAAGTACTCCAGTTTGATTGTATCAGGTCACAGATAATTTAATATCTGAATTAATCGCCACCGTCACATCAAGTTCAAATATGACCTTCATTGTTACTGTAGAAAGCCATGTGTGGCTGCATTTGATCAAAGTAACAATAACAGCTGATCAAAGCTGTTATAACTCATCTTTCCTTGTGAGTCTGAACCGAGTTAACTGGTCAGAACATGATGGCGACCACGCGACTAATCTAGTTGGTACCGATGATGTACGACTCCCCTTTAAAGGGACTATCCCACCTTCTAAAATGTTGTTAAAACCAGTTAGATTGTGCCCGACTTTATAGATTGGATGACCAGGAACACGGTTCTGGCATTTATTTTTCATTAAACATCTTAGGCTTCCCATATTCCAAACACAAACTTTTAAATATGTGACGTCACAGCCCAAAATTACCTCCTTCCCCAGCCCACATTACTGTCATAAAGCTGATTCTTTTTACTCTGTAGGCACCAAAACAAAGTTCAGACCAAGTTTTAAGCGATTTTTCAACGAACAAACCCATTTAAATCAGAATGACTAAACGAGGTGACGTCACACTAACGGTCGCTCCATGTTGAAGATAGGGCCTTGTACAAGGCCCATTTTCAAATGAAGGGAACGAATTTCTTCAACACCAAGAGGCCGCGGGGGTTGCAACCTAGATAGATAGTGGTTTCTGAACCTCGCCGCAAACTTGGCTATCTCAACTCAAACCCCATGTTAAAGGTGGGATAGTCCCTTTAATGTCCTCCCCTCCATCAGGTTTCCCAATACCTAGTGCTGCTGGTTACCTGTATTTTGTTCTACGGCTTGTCTTACCCTACCTTACGTGAATGTTTGGACTGTATACATTGTGACGGTATTCTGACGCTTGATGGTATGCATGATTGCATCAGATCATTTTTTGTCTTTCTTGTCTCTCTGTGTCCCATGTGTCTCCTGTTTCTCCCTGCCACTAGTTATACGTTCTGACCGTCTGTCTCTGCCTGTCGTCCCCAGTCGTTCCCGGAGGAGCTGCCGTGTGTTCTACCGTCTGTGTTTCCCCACCAATGCGCAGATGTTATGTGTACAGCCCTTCTGAGTTCTGACTCTCCCCGCCGTCGCCAATCGTCCCCGGTGGAGCTGCTGGATGTTTAACCGTCTGTGTGTCTCCCCACCAATACGCAGATGTTGTGACAGTCTACAGTTGTTCTGGCCCTCTGTCTCTCTCCCGTCCTCGCCAGTCGTTCCCGGTGAAGCTGCTGGTGTCCTGTGTTTCATGTTCTGTACAGTCCATTTCCCCCACCAGTGTGATATTTTGACAGTATACAGCCGTTCTGACTCCCTCTCCCGTCGTCGCCAGTCGTTCCCGGTGAAGCTGCTCGTGGCCGGCGTGGCGTGTGCGCTGGCTGCCATCGCCGTCCACCGTCTGAAGCTGTTCTAGCGGCGCTGTCGGTCGGTAGCGCTCGGCGCGGCCGCTCCTCCCTCCCAGCTGCGCCCTCCAGTGCCCTCCCAGGCGGCCACCCCGTGCCCAACCGTCCCGCTCAGATACCCCTCTATGGCAGAGATTCTGTGCTCACAAGCGTCGGCGCTCAAGTGGCTCGCTCACAGCGCTAAATAGTGATATGGAGTGAGGCCGGTCAGTGGTCCACTCAGCGTATACCGGTGGCGGCGTCTGTGTATCTGCGAGTGTGGAGTGAACTGAACAGAGTGAACTCAGCAACGGTGGGTGGGAACGGTGACCAGCGCCCAGTTTAAACGGTACTCCAGAGTATGATTATATGATTATTGGATGAATGTGTGAACACTGCGGGCATAGCCCGATATCGTGCCGAGTAAGGAGTGAGCCCAGAGCTGGACTTTTGCCCCCAGAACTGGGAGCGAGAGAGATTATAACCGTGTCGGAGCTCCGATGTCCGCGAAGAGGCGGACCGGGGACGGTCGGCCACATCGCTAACACAGAGAGAAACGGAAGGGAATCGTGGACCAATTGTTGCTGATTGCTGTTGTATTGTGTTGCACTGCACCGAGCCCAGTTGGCACTTGCGAGCAGATGCCGAATAAATTTATCTAGTCCATACCGTCTGTGGAGAAAAGGAAGCGCGAGAAGACGTGACGTGGTATCTGAATCGGAATGATGTGATATCGCATTACGGAAGCAAAATACTAAATCGGTTAGAACACGGTACAATGTATCTCGTAACGGTGTATAGGTCCATGTCAATGTATGAGCGCAGTTGGATTGAGATGTTCAGAGGACATCTGTTATGACAAGTTTCCGAGCGTTGACATGGTGCAAAAAGGTACGGTTGAATTTTACGTGGGATCATTTGATTTTTGTGGTGGCTTTTAATAAGAAAGATGACGATGTGAACATCCACTTCAATATCTTCATTATCGGTTCATTGCTAGCGAAGTATTTCCCCCACGTAAAGAACGGGCATGCTTAGGTTGCAAATCTAGCCCTCGACGATTATAATGGGATCTCCATTGGTGTTAAATTGCTGCGTGACGTAAACGGATAACCGTGAATGCGATTGGTGAGACGTTATATGACGCAATGTTATTTTAAGTTGTGTCAATAAAAGAGCACAATTGCTCTTTCGACCCAATGAGGCCAACGCTAGTGGCCTCATTGGGTCGCTAGTGGTCTTAACGCGACGCTCTTACCCTTGCCATGGTATGCCTTATCATTCGAGCCAGTACAAGGTCGATTTCATTAGTTCAGCAATAATAAGCTTTCACTTATTATCAAGTTAGTGTGAGATCGATTTGAGCATAACCTGGTTTATATCGTTGAAATGTTTATATCGTCGAGATGAATGTAACCCCAACGTTGAAAAACTACCAACCACTGAACAATCTTATTGAGAAAAAAAAAACGTGAACTCCCTTACGTCTACAATACGTTTCCTTCTATGATCGCGATCAGCGATGTATAGGTAATCCGTTATAATGAGTTAAAATTGTAATGTAATGTAATGAGCAGAAGTAAGTACCGCGGAAGTGTCGACCGACCGCCAGCTGACTGGAAGGTAGACTGTACCGCAGCGCACCGTCCACACTACAGCCGCGCTACTCACGTTACACCGGCGCGGCGGTGGGTATGCTGCGCCGCAATGCATGTCGAGTCTGTGTGCTTGGCGGCGAGTCTGTTCTTATATAGCCTGTGCGCTGTGGTTTCGGCGTTGGATTTGGAGGTTTATTGATTAGTCACTAGCAGCCATGGCACGGAAAGGGACCGACAGCACTGGAATATTGAGCTGCACGGCAATATGCGTGCAACATTTGAGATTGAAAAGTAGGGTAAGGGCGGGTAAGAGTACGCGGGCGATAAGAGTACGCATCAGCTGTTTTGGTTGCTTAGCAACGCGGGCTTGTCGAGTTCATGAAGTGACATGAAGCCGCCAGTGCGTGCTTGTCACCAACGGAACGTGGGCGTTGAGCGGCGACGCTGTTGAGTTTAAGGCGATGAATATTATTTTCGAGCGTTATGATATTATCATGGTATGGTACAATAATTTTGATATTTGGCAGTTGAGATCAGGTACATTTCCGTGATTGTTGTGGGAAACTTGTGAGGTTATCTGGGGAAATACTGTGCAGTGCAATATTATGTTTCCGAAGTTTTGCACAACGTTTCGGGGTTGTTTTGTGCGCGAATTGCATGTACGGTAAGAGGACGCACTGGTCAGGAGGGTAAGAGTACGCAGAATTATACATTAAATCGAATATACAGAAATATAAAATTATTAATATATCGCTCAATGACGTTTGTTTTGTAGGTATATCATCAATGGAGCACTGTGATGCAGATGCGTACCCGAAATTCTTCCAAATACAAGTTATTCTCCCTTTTGATTGTGTATTTTTTTTTAAAGAAACACACGACATGATTATTTCCTGATTTATAGACTTGAAATATTTATTTTAAGTATTTCTTTTTGGATACTAGAATTAACTTAAATGCCTTCTGAGTTTGAAGTTAAGCATTTGGACAGTACAAGCTGCATAGGTGTGTGTTCATATGCTTGCGTACTCCACCCGCCTGGTGTGCGTACTCTTACACACCCCATATAGTAAGAGTACGCAACTGCAGCGGTTCAGAAAATATCAGTTTTAGACCACTTCCATTTACGCTGAAGGATCGTTGCCCCATGGGTTGATGGCTAATTCAATGAACTTTAATATTCCCTATTTGCGATTTCTTTCTTTCAAATATTAAACAAATGAGAGCAAGAAATCCACTAAGTGCGTACTCTTATACGACTTCACCCTAGGTAAGACGGTGTTATAATTCATAAAATGGATTGCTCTGTTGTGATAGTTTAACTTTAAATGTACTCGTACCAGTCGTACCTATAACCGTATATCATTAAGTGAATGGTACGCTTTATAAAATGGATCGCTAAAAATGAAAGAGAACCTCACTTCAAAAGTTTTATAGTTACTTCATCTCAGCGACAGAAAAATTGCATCTAATGTTGTGTGCACCGTCCCATGTTCCTGGGAAGAGTCAAGAGAGGCGTCCATCCTGGCTAACCAGTTGTTGATACTGTTCTGACTGCGCCACGTAATGCTTCTCCGCGGACTGGTGCCGTTATTTCGTCATTATGAAGTCGTTATTGCGCGTTCTCACTAGCTGCTGGCCGCTCCCGTCCCTATAAAAACGAGAAGTGACGCCACAGCTGCGAGAAGTGACGTTCCAGTCGCCACGACACCGCATCATGAACATGATTATGTCGTCATGGCAACATGGGTCGCAATCGCTTCGAGAGAAGGCAATAGAATCTAACCAGAGATGCAATTCTCTGTAGACAATGTATCTGGATGAACACCTAGAAAAGAGATGAGCGATTTTAAAAGCGGGATTCCAGATTGAATGATGGTCGTTTTTCGCAATCGCTTGTAACAATTGCAATGCCTTTAGGTCGCCATACCGAAACAAGCTCAATTTTGATTCTTTTCCGCCCGTCACCTGCGGTCCTGCGTGATACATCTAAAAACTTTTTATTTCGATCAGTAGCAATTAAATGCTGAAGCGCAGACATCTTCCTTTTCAGACACACGCGCAGACATCGTTTTCTTTTTTCAGGAGTTGTGTGAAATTGATGCCCGGAGAGGTACTGAAAACGGCGAGTCGATATTCGCAGCCGTTTCTGATTTACCTGCGAAAAACCGCAGAGCGGCTTTTTGGTCACCCCCCCCCCCCCCCAAGGGTCGCGGGTTATAAGAACAGACTCGCTGCCAAGCACATCGGCTCGATGTGTATTGCGGCGCAGCATACCTACCAGTACCGTCTGTAATGTGTAGCGCGGCTGTGGCCGGTGCGCTGCGGTACAGTCTACCTTCCAGTGAGACGGCGGGCGGACTCGGCCCTACAGCAATGCTCATTGCGATCACCGTGCACCGAACATACGGATACCACGGGCTTAGGGCATTGTACCCGAGCTCTGGAATTCAAACTCAAAAGCTCAGTCAATATGTGGACTCATGTATATACATACAGTGTGGATTATATAAGAGATTCCGTTTGCCTACACTTTTATAAGTAAAGCTAAGGTGGTACAAATAAGTGATATCCAGATCCCATAAGCTCCTATCTTTTATCTAATTTTTCCGATGCCTTTGATTTCAGTTGCAACAGACGCGTCCATTTTTCACGTCCGTCGGCCCGGCCCGCCGCCCCCTCCTACACATCCGGTCTGCAGCCGGATCACCACTGTCGGCCAGCCATGGGCAGTGCGCCTGCGTCGGATCGACACGTGTTGCATCAGCGACGCGTCGAGCCGTCGGCGTCGACGCGTCGAGTCCGACGGCCGGCGCGGCGCACGTGCGGATCACGCGGCGGGTCTGGGCAGCGGCGCCGGTGTTCAAATCTCGTCTCGCTTCAACCGTGGTTCGGCCGAGACTGACGTGTCGTCTTGGCCGGAGGATGCAGGTCGAGCTGGCAGAGGGTCGGCCGTCGGCACGGCGCCGCCGCCGGTCGATCGATGTCGGCCGTGCCCCGGGGCGATGGCGAGGGCGGCCGGGGGCTGCGCGCTCGGCGTCCGTCCGCGCGGCACGCCGGTCACCTTGTGCCGTCCTCTGACACGGACCCCGCCGCCGGCGCCGCCGCTGCCGGAGACGGAGACGGTCACACAGTGAACCGCGGTCCGTGCCGAGACACACATGGAGAACGGAGAGGTGCCCGCCGAGGCTGACGGCCTCATGGGCAAGAAGCGCAAATACTCGCCGACTGTAGCGAGTGGTGCCGACGCAGCGCCGACCAAACGTGAGTGACCCGGCGCCCGGCCGGGCCGGCCCGGACTCTGTGATCAGTCGATAGATGGTGATCGATATTCGGTGCGTGAGGGACCTTCTTGATTGGTTGACATCATATGAAACGGTTTGGTTATTTAACCTTGGCAAATGCTGCAGACTCATTCAATAATATTTATTTACCCTATCAGCTATCATTATCGGTGTTATGTAAATTTACTGTTCTTTTATATGCCAATGAACCGCAAGTCACATGTAAGATGTTTATTCGGTTCAATCATTTACTAACGTATACGCTAATATACGTTGAGATTTGATTGAGATTTGATTTGATTGATTTGATTAAGGTATGCGTATGACAGGGCATATTTTAACACACTGACTGCGTCCCATTTTGGGACGCAGCCCCCTGCCTTTGGGACGTAGTCCTCGCGAAATTTGGACCACTGCGTCCCATAATTGCGAATTTCGATACTGGCCAAAAGCAATTACAACAGCCCGCTCCCAATATCCCGCTTCCTGCCCCTCCACCAGCACAGTACACAATGACACATGTATCTGTCAGTACATTATCGCACTTGCATTATATACCTACTATTTCGCTTGCAATGTGCCCTTTCCGATCGAAGCATGTGCCCTATGGCACCTTTGGGACGCAGTAAAAAATCCTTAAAATATGCCCTGGCGTATGAGATTTAGGATATAGCCTAAATCTCATTCAAACTAAAATGCCATGACGATTACAGCATAAATTATTATAGATATACTGTATTTCGGTCACACGCTGTGATGCATGACAAGTTTCATTATTAGGCGTTGATATTCTAGGATTAGTTGAAAGGAGATAAATTGTCTTGCAAGCCATTTCGTGGTTGCTTGGATCTTCAAAAGAATAAGCATTGCTATCCCTCGCATTTAATTGGGGGAGGGTCGAACGAACCCCCCTCGGTTTTTCAGGATAACTCGCGCAAAAAGCGGCCGAGCGCAACGAAAAGTTCAGTGCCCTCAAGATGAGCAACTTAAAATTTTCTTATTTTTTCTCTTAAATCTAATTTTCTCTTTAAATTTCATAGTCCTACCGACCCAAATGACCTTTGACCTAGCTATGACCTATTTCTCGAGACCGTGTTTTGCCGGAATAGCGATTCGGCGTATGTCGGCTCGCATTATCCGCGGGTTTGCAGTCTTGTTGTGGTTTTAAACGTTCAGACACGTGAACTGATGTTGGTCTCATACATTATGGTTGGTGCTAAGGTCACGTAAAGGTCAGGTCAGGTCATTGACCTTTGATGACCTTGTTTAACTTTTTAGAGATCGACATGTTTCTAGGAAAGTTTTGGAGCTGATTTCGAATTTGGCAACCATTTCAGCATTTACGAAGTAATTTTTGGTGCCTTCTTAACCCACGAGCCGCGGGGGGCAAAAAGTAGCCCCCCTTTACCTTTTGTGGAATATCTCCGAAACCTGTTGAGCTACGACTGTAAAACTTGGCATAGCTTCAAATGAATACTCAGGCAATATTTGAGGAAAGTTTGGTGGTTGTAGCGCTCAAGATGACGTCACAGTGTGACGGCATAAAGTTTTGTCGTTTTCCGATATGGACCGTTTCTGATGTCGCTGAGCATGAAACTCAACTGTAGTCTGTAAATGAACTAGACACTAGACAGCACCTGCTGTCATCCTTAAACAACTAAGTACACTTCCAATTTGTTCCTGACCAATAATCGGTCCTTTATATTCAGTCTCACATATCGGCTATAGGTATCGTGAGGAAACGGAGAGTCGCAAATCTATAATTTGACTTCTGACGTCACTGTGACGTCATTTCAAATGGGATCGACATCGAATCTGGACATAACCTTGGCTAGGTGTTAAGAAAGATGTGTGCAAAGTTTCGCTTTTCTGTCTTTTCGCGTTGCGACGATATCGTTGCAGAGGTAAAGGGGGGCAACTATATGCCCCCCTCCCAGCGGCCGGTGGGTGGCGTGCATGCCCAGCGGCCGCCGGCTTAACATGTTCAGAATCTGTCAGTGGTGGTTGACACCTTACTATGAAAACCCAGCACGACGGATATTCGCTAACGTCAAAAAGTCTAAGGGATATTCAAATGCATTAGTAACTCAGAATCCAAACAAATGCAGACTTGAAATTGAATATCTCCGAATTAAAGCATTTCTCGATGTTTAAGTGCCCAAACCAGTAATTACAAACCAGGCACCCCAATTTGGCTATCGTGGGATGATCGGATGATCACTTTAAAACATACTCTTTGTGTAGCAGTTTGTTAGTGTATGAGAATGCCTTCAACGAACGGGGCTCCCCACGCGCCAGCTTCTTCGATCTTGTCCAATGCATTGTTAGTTTGTTTTGGAGTATTTGTCCGCGTCTTTATTGGTTATGGCGATGAAACTGAATGTTATCCGTCTATGCAGAGCATTCTGCATCTGTAGTGATTTGCTCGTAAGGGCTCATGCGGTCCTGTTTTCGCTAGAAATAACACTTATACCTACCAGTTCACTTTTTTAAAATGCATATATGTAGCTTCTTTATGGTTTTAATAAAAGGACGTCACTTGGACGGTTTCGTAAAACATAACAAATGTCCCGACATAGACCTCTACATACCCTAGTTCCCGAGATATAAAGTTTTACTTTTAGGGCCACTATGCAATACGCCAGATTCGAGTGTCCAGTCCAGGTATGTAGAGGTCTATGGTCCCGATTTTTTTTTAATGAACCATTGCGGTGGAATCCATGAGTTACATATACCTATCTTTCACTATGCACAATGCACATAATGGTGTCACTGGAAGGATTCTTCGTCAGTCACCCATTCTTCCATGGGCGCCAGTACGATACATTGCCATTGTGTACGCTGAAATAAAAAACAGCGACCACTTTCCCCGGATATGCAACTGGACTCCCGTCCAATACAGAATATGGCGAGCGACGGACGAACGGGGCGGCCGCTAGGGTCACGACACTGGCTCGTGATATCGGGGGGGGGGGGGGGGGGTCGGTGGGTCAGGGGTAAGCGTGTCGGTGGGGCACGACAGCAGCCTTCAGCCAGCGGTCATCACCGACGACGACAAATGATGTCGCTGTTGAATCCATCGACAGACAGTGACGTTCTTTTCCCGAACACAACTGAATGTCGCAATCCGGAAATAATCCAGCGACAGACGTTAATGTAGCGTGATTTATATCCTTGACTTTCAAATCAATGACATCGCCGTGATAGCTGGACGTGTTTGGACTTAGGGATATGCCATGATATCACATAGCATCGCCACTTAGAGTGTGATTGTGATGTTAACCCTCGCCCGTATTAACCCCCTCCGTTGGACCCCTCCCCACTTGCCGTTTGGCCCCTGATCGAGCTAGAGCTTCGCGGAAAAACGAGTGTGTTACCTGTGACGACAGGAAGCCGATGATACCCAACTTCAAGGTCCTAGGTCATTGGTTGACCTTCCAGGTCAGGTCAATGACCCAAAAGTCGGGAAAATCGGGACTTGTTGGTATGTCATAAAGTGCGGCTGTTATAGGTTTCTTTTCGGGGTGCTGATGCATACCATGTTAGTTTTGATCACAGATGCTGTCTTCATGCATTTAGGCCAGGCCGGGTCAGGTCAGGTCAGGTCAACCAATAGGAGTCCTGCCGGGTATTCGTAGTACCTACGTGTCAACTGTCAACCACCTCTGACAGCTTCGTAACATGTTACGAAGGCACCAAAACTATGTTGTAAATGTTCAAATGGTTGCTAAATTCGAATTCAGCTCCAAGAACTAGCCTATAAACATGTAAAACTCGAAACATTTAGCCGAGGTCATCAAAGGTCAGTGTCAGTGACCTGATCTGAGCTTCAAGTGACCTTTACACCCACCCTTATGCATGGGACCGACATCCTATCACATGTTTGAATGCTTGAAACCACGAAAAGACTGCAAACGCGCGGCTACTGCGAGCCGACATACGCCGAATCGCGACTCCGGGCAAACATGGTCTCGAAAAGTAGGTCACAGCCCACAGGTCAAAGGTCATTTAGGTCAGGGTCATTAACTTTTTAGGTTAGGTGTAAAATTGAATAATGCGAAGGTGCTGAAAATCTCGTCACAATCGGCTGCTTTTTACGCGAGTTATTTGCGAAAAACCGGGGGTGGTTCCGTTCCGTTCGACCTCCCCCTTTACGGGCGAGGGCTTAAGCTCCAATTGTGGTTCTTGCGCTTATATTTTTTTTCACAACCTTGCCATCTAAATTGGCTCCACTTGAACTTAGTGGCAATGCATGTGATCATTTATTTGGAAATGTGCATGCATTATATCTGAGCATACAATCGATAGATCGTCGGTACTCGGTATAGATACTTTCACATATAAGTTTTCGATGTAAGTACGTGCCTACCCTTTTAAGCTTTACCGTGTAGAAATATTAGTTTTGAGGCGGTTTTTAGATGAATTGGCACCTGAAATTTTGCAGCTATTAGCTCTTCCATGTTTATATCAAAGCTATTTGTGTTATTCGTCTGGTAACAACTTACCACGGCTCTGACATCGTTGATGCGTCCATTCATAACACTAAAATCAAATTTATTTAAGTTGAAAACAAACATTTATCTACATATTTTGTTGTCCCCTTGAGACAAACCCTATAATCAGCAAATTTATTTAGGTATGTTGATGCTTGCGCGCATAGTGCATGGTGCAGGTATAGCATCGTCTGCGCATGTTAGTAAAACAGGCCATTATATCGGTATACGCCTCGCCGCCATACACAAGACGCTAAAACATCTCATTGGTTGTCGACTGACGATCCAATCTACTGTCTGTCACTCAGTGACAGTTATTGTCGACCTTCACCCAGTCACCTGACAGCTGCCACCGGACCTGTCACCTTCGCTGGCAGCCCGGAGGCAACGGACGCATGCTTTCGCTGCCCCGTAAATACCGTGAGATATAGTGCGATGGTCACGCAAAACAGTCGGTTACACAGCCGCGGTAAGTATGTAGGGGAGAGTGGGGCAAAGTGGACACCCGGGGCGAAGCGGCCACCCATCGTTTTAGCCCTTCATAGCTGGCGTCAGTTCCAATTTACGGTTTCCAATTATACTTCTCTTCACGGTCGTTCTAATGAACCAGACCGGGGTTTCAGGCCCATCACCATTGTTTTGTGAAACGCGGAAAAGCATTTCTTGCCAGGTTACCAACTATGTTTACAATTTTTAAATGTTATGTTATTCCATAACCGTTTGGAATTTTTATAAGCGTTCTTGTCCATGCATGTCCATGGCTATCGTACATGTATTCTACCAATTTTAATGTTTTTTACCCCACTAATAGCTAAGCTGGAATATTTTTGTCTCGGACGGTATGCGCGGGGCAAAGTGGCCGGGGCAAAGTGGCCACCCCCGAATTGGCCATAAGTTGCTTCCATCTGGATAAAAAAACATTATTTATATTCAAATGTGTCGGCATGCATTCATCTTGGCCACTTTTCAGTTGCATGAGTTACCAAATAAAGCAATTAAATGTTTATTTTCATGGAAATCCCTTCTTTGTTTACCTACAGGTGGAAGATGATAAAGTAAACACCCATCCTCGCTTAACCTTGTCACCATCAAATACCCTAGTCGTACGCGAGGCAACTATTTTGTTTCTCATATCGGGACTTGAGAAGACGCCGGTGGCCGCTTTGCCCCAGGGTATGGGGCAAAGTGGCCAATATGCATAGGTTTAAAGTTTTGTCAATATTTTTCATATGTGAACGCCTTTGGAAATAAAACGCAGTTGAAATAAAAGGCAACTTAATTGGGATCACATGGGATCACATTGGTATAGAAAGAATCTTTCCAAGTTTAAAAATCAAGCGTTGGCATCGTAAGAAGCGTTAGGGTGGCCGCTTTGCCCCACTCTCCCCTACATACAGTCGTCTGTCCGTGCCCCCGCGGACCGTGCGGAAGGCTGTCGTCCGTGGGCCGTCCGTGGATCGTCCGTGGGCCGTCCGTGGATCGTCCGTGGATCGTCCGTGGAATCGTACCAGCGGAAACCAATGGAACATGCCGGATGGCTGCGGCTAGTGTTACATTCAGCCGCCTGTCCCGTGAGACGTGCACCCGGACGTCGTGATTCATGAGCTGAAAGGTGCGATGCAGCACGTGCTGAAATCGCCTTCCGGGAGGATGGAATTCCTTCGGTCAATATTCGTTCGGGAACTTCTATCTTCATGTGCCACGTGACAGAGTCTGGTTACTATTCCTATAGCCGTTTTGTAGTCAGCGCTGACATAAGATTCCACCTCGATAAGTAAACGATCCCTAGCCCACTGACCTCGCCGTGACCTCTCCTCTCCTAGAGCATGTGCCACAGCAGAGCGCCATGTGCCGCAGCTACTCCTAGTGACCTCCGCTGACCTCTCCTGCCCGAGGTCATGTGGCGCAGCAAAACGGCAGGTCATATACCCGGCAGATCTGCAGGCCATCGACCTTACCTTGACCTCCTCTCCTCCTTCAGCTCATGACACCCAGCTGCTCTTCAGTCAATTGACCGTACCCTGACCTCTTGTCCACAGGTTATGTGCCACATCAGAGAGGCAAGCTATGAGCCCAGCTATTTCTCTGGAAGTGACATCAGTCATTGCCCTGACCTCTCCTCCCCAGGTCATGTGGCGCAGCGGTACGTGTTCGCCGTGCTTGGCTGCATCGGCATGTCCATCACCTACGGCCTCAAGGTCAACTTCCACGTCTGTATCGTCACCATGATCAACCACACGGCGGTGCGTGCGGCCGGCAACGCCTCGGGACACGCCAGTTCGGCTCACTCGGCCGCCAGCGAGTGCGCCGAGCCCGGGCACAACGACACGGAGATGGCCGGATCCAACCTGGTGGACGTGAGTGGCGCTGAGAGCGGTGCTTTGAGAATTATGCGACTTTATAAACAATGCGTTCTATATAATTACAAAATCAATAAATCGTGTTTTCGCAATTTGCTCATTTTGTTCCTTATGACATGCTAAGTGCTTAATTGCTGATTAATTTTAATTTGGTTAGGTTTGGTAAATGTTTATGATACATCAATCGTAGACGGTTGACGCCTATTTTACCGCAGAGATGGCTCTTTCTTAAATTTGTCTGACCCGTTTTCTCTCCCGCCAGGGCCCGTTCACGTGGGACGCCATCATCCAGGGCGTGCTGCTGGGCTCCTACTTTTACGGCTACCTGGTGACCCAGGTGCTGGGTGGCCGGCTGGCCGAGCTGCTCTCCGCCAAGTGGACGTTCGGCGTCTCTGTGTTCCTGAACGTGTTGCTGGCGCTGCTGACCCCGCCGGCCGCCTGGCTCGGCTGGGGATACCTGCTGGCCATCCGCATCCTCCAGGGCATGGTCGGAGTGAGTATAGTGGTGGATATGTGGAGGGATGGTCTGTTAATTGTGAGTGCTTCAATACAGGCGCATTCGAGAAGCATTTTTGGAATGAGTGCAACGCACAACGTCAATTTTTTTGTCACGTTCTTCTGAAGACGTGATGTCAAATGAAAATTGTTGGACTTACCACATAAGACGGCATTTTTTCTTCAAATTGGCATTGTTTTAGATCGCGTTCCTACTTATCGTCTGTCACTGTTCACAGGGAGTGACTCTGCCGGCTACTCACGTTCTGCTCTCCAAATGGTCCCCGGTCAATGAACGGAGTCGGATCTCATCGCTCGTTTACGCAGGTAGGCACTATCTTACGACTGCATGAAATCGTCCCCGACTCCTTTCCTTCCACAACCATCGACTGACACCTGAGGAAGCCTGTTCGAGTTTTCAAGATGCCGCATTGCTACCCCGTGACACCGAGCTGCCACCCCATGTCTCACCCCGTGACTGCCAAGTGCCAACTGACACGTGTCGTGAACCCGTGACTGGCCAACTGACACGTGTCGTGACATCGTGACTACCATCTGACCCGTGTCATCAACTCGTGACACCCGACTTCCCAGCTGACCCCATGTGACGCGAATGCCCAGCTGGACCGTGTCATCACCCCGTGCCACCTGACTACCTGGCTGACCCGAGACCCGCGTCATCACCTCGTGACACCTGACTGCCTGGCTGACCTGTGTCAGCGACCCCATCAGACGCTGTCGACGGCTGTCTGCCGGCCGGCCCGATGCTGTTTGGATTGGCTCCGATCGGGCACGATAACCCGGTTCCCAGGTCCATCACTGCTGGCGGAGCAGCCGTGGGCCGGACTCCCTCACACCTGTCTGAGTCCCAGCACTATATTTAGGCTCCCCTTACCAGAATAACTGGTAGAGAATAGCTGGTAAAGTGTGATTTATTGACAACGCCGAACTAAATCGTAATATCCTCCACCGGAGTGACGGTCTTGCCAGCCAGCGCCCTCCTTAATTTCCACTTACATCCCCACCTCCGTACTTATTTCTCACCGTTCCTCTTCGCCCTGCTAGATCCCCGGTCTTACCAGTCTATCTGCTTTCACCGTTTTCCTATCTAGCAGCTGTTGGCCGACGTTAGCCATCCATTGACTCATGACTGTCATCTCTTGCAGTCAGCTGACAGCTGGCTCGATCCACCGTATAGCAACACGAGCTACCACTAACCAGCTGACTACTAAAGAGTCAACAATTACGCGCTTAAGAGGGCTGTTTGATGTTATGTTAAGCATGTGATACATGGCTGTTTATTTATTCAAGCAAACAGTGGGCATGTAACAGTCTGGTCCGACGTACCTTGCAAGACAAAAGCTGAGTGTTACTTATTATTTCACTCGGTAAAATTTGTATCAAAGTCTTAATGCCACCACCTGTGGAAAGTCTACCTATTCCTCCATGCCAAAACGGAGGGCATCGCGAGACGGCGATTTACATAATCAGCCGTGACTCTTCAATTAATTATTTTTTCACTGGATCGCGGCGGTTTCTATTATTGCTGGAACACCAGTGCCAAATTGATAACACTGAAAACAAGAGCACCTGTTCGGCACTCTATTAAACGGGTCACAAGTTGCAAACTCCTCGTTCCGAAAATGTCGTGCATTTTATTGGTGGTTCAGGCTGTACGGATCTCTACGCCTGCATCTTTTGCCCAAGACCTCGTCATCTAGATCATGTATATTGTATAGTCTTGTATACTTGTATAGTATTGTATAGCCTCATCAATGTAGGTATCGAATGATGCGTAGTGACAGTGCAGTGAGTTTATATCATTACGTGACCAGCTCCCCCTCCCGTTCCGTGCTGACCGACCCTTGTTGCCCCTCCCCCCCGCCCGCCAGGTATGTCTCTGGGCACGGTCATCTCCGTGTCGTTCACCGGTCTGCTCGCTGCCGTCCTCGGCTGGGAGGAGGTGTTCTACGTCCAGGGCGGACTGTCGCTCATCTTCGTCGTGCTGTGGTTCGTCTTCGTGTACGACTCGCCCGAGAAACACCCCTGGATATCCGACACGGAGACGGCACTCATCAACCAGGACAGAGGAGACTCGCACGGACCTGTGAGTACGAGGTTTGAAGGTTTGCGAGCACGAGTGAATGAGGACAATTCAGCCTGATGATTCCTCGAACAACAGAACTTGTTAAGTTTTTTCAGTTTTTTAAATATTAATTGATATAACGAATTGTTGACTGCCAGTTGTGCGATATTTATAAATTGATAGCAGTTACTTTAAAAGCGCATTGTATGCTAAGTACCTACAGCAGTGGCGGCGGAACACCTTCAATTAAGGGGGGGGGGGGCACTGCCGACTTTTGGTCCCATTCTTTCCATGCAACGCCCATAGGGCTAATGTTAAAATGCCAAAATCAAAGAGGGCACGGTGCCCCGGTGTCCCCCCCCGTTCCGCAGCCTATGAAGTACAGATTAGCAATGCATTACATTGGCTCTACCGCAAATAACAATCGATCATAGGAAAAACATGTCAACCGGTTCACCGTCGCGCTGACCCGCTGTTTTTGTCCTCCGCTGTGACAGAGTCCTCCGCTGCCATGGAGGGAGATAATCAAATCTCTGCCCTTCTGGGCAATCATGATCTCGCACACCGGAAGCAACTTTGGCTGGTAAGTGTGTAATATGTTTAAAACTGTCATATTATTTGTTTTGCTTTCATCATTATAAGAATTTAACGATATATGTCTGAGTTATTCCTACGCACAAATATAGGTTTCTTCTTCGATGAGTGGATATATCGGTGCTAGTAAAGCATTCACGACTGTTCGACAGGTATATGATCCTGACGGAGCTGCCGACATACATGTCGACCATCCTGGGCTTCGACATCGCCTCGAACGCGGTGCTGTCGTCGGTGCCCTTCCTGGTCATGTGGATCTACTCCATCATCCTGGGTAACGTGCTCGACCACCTCGGCTCCAAGGGCATCATCACGAGGACCACCAGCACCAAGATCGCTACTAGCATCGGTGAGTGGCAGAGGTGTGAGGAGCAAGGGCGGCGCAAGACGCACTGAGTCGATATCATATGGCGATACAAAGAAATTCGTACCCAAATAAAAAGATCACCATGTGCGGATCTGCAGATGCACAGCTTGTGAACGAGTCTCGCTATTAAATATTTTGCTGTGAAAAAATCAACGTTACGCTTGTTTAGCAATAAAGCAATTGCAAGGACTTATAGCTAATTTTTTATATTATAAGGTAGCTTAACCGACGACTGCGAATCAAGAAACGCCAACGTTATGTTTAGGCCTTGCCAACGATCACGCTGCAATGACGAAATACCGTCTATAAATATAAAGTGTCTAATGGCTTGTCACCTTTTAGGCCGCCAGCCAGGCTTACCTACAGGATAAACAGCGTCAGGGCTTTCATAGAGCCAAACGAGCTTAGAGTTCAGACAAGCTGCCTTCTGAATAGTACTTGAGAAGTCAAATGTCTAATGAAATCTTTATTCTGATCCATTTTGACTGGTGCATCGTTTTTAATGCTTGATGAATCGCAAGCCATGGTCGATGGCCAAAATTGACGATCACTTCGGCCTGGTTTTAACGATTGGGTTGGCGCTGTGAAATGAAGTCTCTGATTTCAACGGCGTTCGGCCGCCGCTGTGTAATGACGTCACGCTGGGCTGTTTCAGCGGCGTTTGTGCCGGCGCTGTGTCTGGCCGTGGTGACGTACGTGGGCTGTCAGACGGCGCTGTGTAATGACGTCTCTGATTTCAGCGGCGTTTGTGCCGGCGCTGTGTCTGGCCGTGGTAACGTACGTGGGCTGTCAGACGGCGCTGGCCGTGTTCCTGCTGACCATCGCCACTGGCGCCATCGGCTCCATGTACAGCGGCTTCCTCTCCAACCACATCTCCATAGCGCCCGCCTTCGCAGGTCAGCGGACTGGGGGCGCCTTGTAGAATCGGGGTTCGGGAGAGAGAAAGATATGAGAGCCTTCGCAGGCCAGCAGGCTAGGGACCTTACACCTTAGTGGGACCTTACACTTTACAGCATCGGTAGGGAAATATGGGGGCTAGGAGGACGGTGGGACTGTTCAGAATCGGGAGCGAGGGATATGAGAGCCGTCGCAGGTCGGCAGGCTAAGTGGGCAGTGGGACCTTACAACTCAGGATAGAGATGTATGAGAGCCTTTGCAGGTCAGCGGGCTGGGTGGTGCTGGGGCGCTGGGGGCCTTACGTATACAGCATCGGTAGGGAAATATTTGAATGAGTGAAATATTGGGGGGCCGGGGGGGAGGGCTAAGTTACGGTGGGACCTTACAGCATCGGGAGAGTTCGCAAGTTAACAGGTTACTTTTAGCACCGGGAGAAGGAGATATGGGAGCCTTCGTAGGTCATCAGGCCATGCCAAGACCAATGCCATGAAGAGACATTACAACTTCGGGAGATCGCTGTGACCGAGGGGACAGGCCGTCGGGCACCAGCTGTCTCAGACACGTAGAAATGGCTCAAGGGGCCAATACTGATACCGATACCCAAACTTCTAAAATTCTATTGATGCATTCTATTGTCGACAAAAAAATACGCCGCCCGATCTCGGATCACGGCGTCTTTGCGGATCGTCTATTTTCATCACCCGGGCACGACGCCACTGGCTGCCGCGCGACTACATAAAAAAGCTGCAGGGCTGGCGCAGCGTTCCAGTGGGCTGCAGTCACCGCCTACCTGCACCTATCGACCCTGAGACCTGCAGAGAGAGAGAACGGTGCCATTGATCGGCGTTCTGGCAGCCGGTGGTTGGCGCCGCTCGGTAAACACCGGCCTCGACTGGCGTGCGACGCACCGAGAAATGGGCAGACGATGCACAGACGGAGCGCCGCGCTGAAATTTCATATCCGGCTCCGTCAGTATGGATGAGGTCATTTCGAGTTGATTGCGCTGCGGGTCGGTGACAGGATGGCTGATTATCTAGGTGAATTAAGATAGATAAGCGGCGAATGTTGCAAGCACCCCCGAAGTAAGACATTCTAATGAATTTCCGGGATTAGCCGACAGGTGAGATCTTTTATAGGAAGCCTGAGTGCTTAGTGGCGCTACTTTACTGTGTATTATAACATGCCGGCCAAACAACAATGCTTTTTACATGGGCAGTGGGCACTATTTACAGGGGCGGATCCAGCCGATCCGTTTGGGGAGGGCAAAAGTTTAGCCGACCATCGGCGACCCCGACCCACCACCACGCCAGTGACCAAGTTACTTCACAACGCCAGTTACACCATCTTACCGTAAGATGGTGTAAAATGTCTTATGTTAACCAATAACCCGTGCCCAGCCGCGCTGGGGCTCCTGGATTTTCACGCCCCTGGTGGATGTTTAAACACCCGTCCCATATCCCTTCTAACTCGGCTCCTGGGCCACGTAGCAACACGCGGTAGGCGGCGTTTGAAAGAGTGTCAAACATAATGACCAAATTACCCCAGTCACTTTTAAGGTCAGGTCAGATGTCAGATCACCAGAGCCCATCAAAGGTCAAATCCCGATAATATTTAGATCTAGTTTCGACAATTTTTGAAGAACTGGCGCATAACTCGGAAACGAATAGAGCTAGAGCGCCCCAGAAAAGCTAATTTGATAGCACTGTTACTGCTCTTTCTGGATAATTTGCTCAGATTGGACCTATGATCAACGGTTTAGCCTCCAGGGGAAACTGCCATACCTAATACCTATTTATTATATACTATTTTTACGGGAACGGATTTTCTGCGATGGGCGCAAAATGACCTTTGCAGTCGACGCGCCCTAAAGCCCCAATAAACAAACGATTTTCTGCGATAACTTTTGAATCAAACCTTGTGCGATCGTGGTGCGATCTTACTTTTACCGGCATCGTGTTCCTCTCGCGAAGACGCGTCGAATGAGTTATAATTTGATCTTAAAAAGTGAACTTACAACTTTGACATTTGGTCAAGTCATGACCTGGCCGGAAAAGGTCGTGTTGCATATCAGTCGATCCGTATCGTAAAGCTAAACACATCTAAGGTGTTTCTACTGCTCTAGAATGCCTCCAGCAGAAGTTATTAGCGAATTGCTGCAAACTATTGCATATCTTTCGTGACCTGAGATGATCTCAGGGACATAAGGAGGGGTCACGGGTGTTATTTTCCGGTTCACTGTGTGCTGTTTAGGTTGTAACTCGGTATTGTTAAGAGTGACGTTTCTTATAAATTTAGCACGAATGTTTGAAAGGGCGGATTGACGGGAGCCGGAGCCTACGCTAAGCAGAGCTTGTTGCGTAGAGCCCGACCCCTACCGTCCGATCGCGTAATTCCGGGTGACAGGAGAATTTAGTTTAACGTTTAACGATGCCAATGTTTTACGTGCCCTTCAAAGCCGGACACGGCCTGTCCCACTCCTGACTTTGACTGGCTGCGGCTGCTCCCACCAACCTCAGACCATCCCCGTCAGGAGTCTCAAATATCGAGCGCCGGAGCGACTCAAACCCGGGCTCTCACTACCGGGAGTCCACTGCTTTACCAACTGAGCTACCGGACAGGTTTGCCCAAAAAGGTGCCTTTCAATTTTCTCTTATTGACTTATAGCGGAGAGGTCGCAAAAATGACCTAGCCCTACAGGGTGGGGCAGCATAATCGGGAATGCTTTTTGGGCTCTGATCATGAGTAGGCATGGCATTATTTTTATAAATTATATTATGGCAATGAAACGCCCAAAAGTTGTGCATCATCTGACATGACTACATCCATGAGCATGCAACTTCCTGGAAAAGAGCAGCAAAATAGTTCGACGGTGCTCCAAGTGCTTTGCGCGCGCCCATAGACACTAATGTTAAACAAGTAAAACAAGAACATTTTGTTTAAAACCCTGCAATTCCACGTAAAGGTTGCTGGGCAGGTCAACGTGTTATCACGGACGATAAGGATTGTGTGGGGATACTTAGGACAACAGGTTAACGTAATCGTCGTAAAATAACTCTTAGCAGAGGACATACAAGATGACTCACTTGAATATAAGGAAGAAGCACTTGAGCATATTAAAAAGAAACAATGTTCAAAACTTCAGCGACAAAAAATCTTATCACCGACTGGAATACGATAAAAAAGAATGGCATGCCATATAGGGGATTGTATCGAGAATATTCCAGCGGTCATGCAAAGTAAACATCCTGTTGGGGTGATGGACCTATGGGTGGTCTTCAAGGGAGGTGCACGTGGTGCACCCTACTTCATCGAGCCCGGATAAAATGAGCACCTCTGGTAAATACAACCGCACTCTGGCAGACTCACGTGGAGCCGTCGGAAGAGAGGATCACTGACGGTCCAAATCACGTCTTACGAGGACTCTGTCCGTGCTGGTACTGCAGTGAGGACGACATGTTATTGTGTAGGGCACCTCCACCTGAGATGAACCAAAAACTTCTGGTCCTTCAACTCCGCCGATTTAAATCCGACCAAATTCTTTACATGGAGCGTTTTTTGGTAGAAGTTTAATGAACAACTTATCATTAGTAAAAACAGTCTTCAGTGCAAGGTACGAAGCTGATGGGCGATCATGGACAAGCAGGAGGTTGCACGTGCATGCGCGTGCTTTTGGACCCGCCTTGAGAAGGTCATCGACGCCGAGGGCGGTCAAATAGGATGAGGGATAGGTAAAAGGTGACCGATTGATAGGATGTTGCTAAAATAGTGCTTGGAGCTATATTTTTAGATTCATGACCAAATAATCCCGTTTGATATTTATTCCCGATTATGCTGCCCCACCCTGTAGGTCATCGATATAAACATCATGTGACTAACATTTTGTACATAGTTACTGTGCTGAAAGCTTCAAAGCGATCAGTCACTCGGTTTAGCTATGGCAAGCATTGGAACTGTTTTTAGGTTATGTCACTTGACGTACAGCTTTTAGTTACTTCGTGACCTTGAGAGACCTTGGTCTGACATTTTCAAAACATATGCAAAAAATAGGTATAAAATAGCGGCTAAGCACGTCGCCGTTTTTTTTTACGCGGAACGCTCCACAGCAATGAGGCTCCCAACAAATGACAAAACTGTGGATTGCTTAAGTAATTTCGAATATAGGGTGGTGGGCGTCTTACCCGACTGGGCATCTTGCCCCGTGTTACCCCACACCATGGCCATTGGCCACACTGCATATGCTTATGCATGCATTCAGTTCAGGGGGTTCAATCTAATATCAGCATATCGACTCAAAATATCAGCAGCCAGTGGTCAGCTCCTTCCTTCGGAATGGCCGTCACGGAAAGAAGCCCTGCTTTTCGTCCACATAAGCATCGACGCCGTATTAGATTTGCTCATCGCTGCATGCTTTGGGAGGGGCAAAAAGATAGTCTTGCCCACACGATTTGGCTTTGGGGAGGGCAAATGCCCATTTTGCCCTCCCCTGGATCCGCCACTGACTATTTATATCTATCAACTGCCTAGACATATCTGATAAACATCAACAGCCGCGTCAAAAATGACAAGTAACGCAATAAAGCTTTGGCAGCGAGTAGGTATATGACTTTGAAACATCACCTGGGGAGGCGCCTGTTACATCGTAGATAAGTTGGCGTCGTTTTATCTGAGGAACATTCTCATTTCTCCCTAACTCGCTCGCAGGTACTCTGATGGCCATCACCAACACTGCTGCCACCGTGCCGGGGATGCTGGTGCCCAGCTTCGTCGGCGCTCTCATTCACGAGGAGGTGAGTCAGGTGCACCGGTAATTGCAGAACAAACAAATGGTGTGACGGGCGCGGGAGCCGCTGATTCATCAAACGCGTCAGCCGTTTTCATGCACATCTATGTATGCCACTTGCATACAATTAGCGCAATCGACTTTTTCCGTTTAGCAATTTTACCTTAGCGTTCTTTTTCTTTCATGAGTCGTCGATTAGTCCAGCTTATTGGGCTATGCGCGGTTTCTGGGAGCGCTTCTGCGCACTGGAAAGGCCCTGGCAATTGGCCGTCCTTTTCGAGCACTGCGGCACAGCATAACTGCAGGCGCGCACTACCGCTGGCGCCATCTATCGTGCGATTAGTGAGCTGATTCGTGGGTGGATCATAGCACGTTTCAATTACAATAATTTACTCATCAAGTGTGCGTCTGTAACTGCCTCATTACGATTCATATTGGATTTTATTAAATACTTATCACAAGGAACGGCATCACGATCTAACTCCCCCGGGTACTCTTTCGGCCTCCAGAACACGGTGTCGCAGTGGAGGATCATCTTTTTCGTCACCTCGGGCCTGTTCGTGTTCCACGGCGTGCAGTACCTGCTGTTTGCGTCCGGCGAGGAGCAGCAGTGGGCGAAGGACGCCCGTCGGCGCGCAGTACCTCAGGAGGAGCCGGACTCGTCCCGGCACTGACCGGCCCCAGGGCCTCGGCAGGAAGGGACGCTGGGTGTCTGAGGATCTGCTGAGCTGTCGGCCGGCCGGCCGGCACTCCAGCCCTTAGGGTATGGACTATGGAGTGGAAATAGTAGTGCCGGAAAGGAGACGGCCATTGGCTTTCAGCTGTGCTGTGTCTGTCTGATCCTCTCTGTTCCCCCCCCTCTCTCTCTCTCTCTCTCTCTCTCTCTCTCTCTCTCTCTCTCTCTTTCTTTCTCTTTTTCTCTCTCTTTCTCTCTCTCTTTCCATCCGTTCCCCCTCTCACTTTTTCGCTCTCTCTTCCTCTTCTACACCAGAGAGGTACGTACCCCAGCCCCTCGGCGCCCCATAGCTCCCAATTAGAGGTAGCAATGTGTTTATTGCGTGCTGTAGTCTCCCTGCGACATATTTTAGGTGTTAGATGTTCGAGATTTAAGAGAACATTTCTAGAATTCTGATGGATTTCTGTTGTGTGTACGGTAGATGTATTATTAAAATGGTCGTGCTGCTTAGACCGTACCTACGCGTATTTTTAAAGGAAGTAGTCTCATTGCTGTTTTCATTGTTGATTATATCTTTTGTGGGCAACATTGTGATTGTGATGGGAGTGCAGGGGAGTGTCGTTACTCTGAATGATGTCTATACCTATATCGTTTATACTTATCCACATAATAGCTTGGTCCCTCATACGGCCCACGAAGGGTGGCGCCCTCTCGAGTCTGCCGGTCCTGCCAACTGCCGGCAACTTGGGAATCGCGTAACATGGCTTTCATTGTCGCTGCACCGAGCCACTCGTGCGCTGTGATGTGTCGCACATAAGATACCAAAGTCGTATCTTCGGACTTTGGTATAAATCCACAATACCGGTAGCTATTTGTGGATCCATGTTATCAGTATTGAAAATGTTTGGAAACAAAACTGGCGCAATTACCTACCAAACAGCATGTTATGCGTCTTGTGGTTAGTCAGTGTCTGTCGGTTTGGTTTGTGCGGTGTTCATGGAAAGGAGTGTTTTCATGGTAAGGTAGCCTCAGTTCTATTCATGTATTATATTTCTAGCCTGACCTCCATGCTGACCTTCGGTGGAGTTGATGGAGCTCTAAAGGGTCTGAAATTGGTGATGCTGTGGTCTTTCGACGTGTTTACTCACTGTTTCTCTCGTCTATCGACAAAAGCATGTGTGGGTCAAAGCTGATTGCGGAAACTGACTGCGACAGAGAGCATGAAAGAATGGGAGACTCAAACTGCATATGTAGAGGGACTGATGGAGACAGAGCGTGACTGAGAAGTGAGCCTATTAGGTTGGTGCTGTGTCCAAGCGCAGTGCTTGCATGTGCTGCAGCAACGTTTAATTGCATATAATTATACATACTCGAACAGTGTAGCCTAATTGGCGGAATCGTGCATCCAAGGGCTGTTTAATCAGGTGTCAAAAGGCCAGGCTGGCCCTAGCTGTACGTATAATATGCACCTGCACATTGTTGTGTAACACATCGCTTCTCGCGGCCGATCGTTGTGTGTGTGTAAGATGTTGGAAAATATACGTTTGGAAGAACGGGGCTATATGCAAATTACACGTTTTGTATGAGCTTAAAGGGACCCTCCCACCTTTACAAAAGTTAATGAATCGGCATGAAAGTGATGTCGCTCGGTTCAGAAAGAGCGAAAACGAATATCTACCAAATTTCACCGACAAATATTCACCGGTTTTCAAGATATTTGAATCAAAGTGCTGCAACTTTGAAATTAGATATTTTCGATTTGAGGCATTTTTCGATGTTGTGAGAAACCGGTAATTGCTAGCCAGGCCAGGGACCCCATTTTGGCTATCTCAACTCAAAACTAATGTTAAGGTGGGCTGGTCACTTTAAACATGTGTCAGCACAGTAGTCAAAAGTACCACAAACTGAGTTGAGGGTATAAAGGTCGGTCAGTCGAAAAAGTACCTTTTTGGATGTCTCGCGAGCCGAGCAACACGTGCTCCATCCATCCATCCACGGTACGTTGTCGAGCTGTGTGAGCAAAAAAAAAAAAAGATAACCGCTTAGAAGCACCGAAAGCAGCCATTGCTGATAACTTTACGTCCGCATTTATGCAGACCAAAGCTGCAAGACATCGCGAGCACTAAAACGAGCCTCATGACCCGACTACCGGGTGTCACGAGGTCTGTTGGGAGCGTCATAGTCGAGCCTCTCGGCTGCGACCGTAAATTCAACAACACGCCTACATGTCACGGACACGATGGGCGCTGATTCGGAACGCGGTAACACAATTGGAGCAGGGAAGAACAGGCTGAACCGAGACAACGGAATTGAATGGTATGGTATGGACTGGGGCGGTTAAGGGACGGGAAAACAGACTGGACGAATGGGACGAAACGAGCAGTCGGAATACGA